CAACAACAGCAACAACAGCAACAACCAGTGACAGCAACAGCAGACGTTGCAGATATACCTGTGCATGTGTTTGTGAGTGTGTGATTGTGTGTTTGTGTGTGTTGCCCATTTCCAATGTCCGCTAGTCGATTTGTATGGCATTCGAAATGTTAACTGCCAGCAGCTACTCCAGCAGCAACAGCAACAACAACAACAACAATGGCCAGCAATCGACATCAAAGTACATACGTGAGTCCTACGCAAACGCAGCCAATCTTTAAAGGCAGCCAGAAATGCCTGACAGCTCAGGTAAGGAGCGGAGGAGAGGCGAGAGCTGGGAGCTGGAAGCTGAATATGTGAGGATGTGCAGCGTACCAATTGGATGCCTCGAACAACGACGACGACGACGACGACGACGACGTCTGCAAAAGCCAGCGCAGATATCAAATGTATTGATAAGCAGAAAGCCTTGGCTGTGCATGGCCCCAGCTTGGGTACGAGAGAGATCAGGTCCAAGCAGAGGCCAGTTCAGAGGAGGACCAGGCCCAGGCCAGGCCAGGCCTTTTTCTGATGCCCTGTTCCCTGTGCGAAAGAAGTATATTTGTCCAGTATACATTACATTTAAGGAAAATACAGTACGGTCACTCTTATAGCCTGACTTCACAATGCTCATTCTGCGATTCCATTAGCAAGTGGCCGTTGTCGTTAACATGTAAATGGCAAAAGTACCTAGGCAAAGTTTTCCTTCCAAAGGTCAAATAATACGGGCTCAAAGTAGGGGCCATTTAACATTTGCGGGATTTGGCCATCTTTAAATTTTAAAAACTGTGGGATTCGTAAAATAAAATTTCATTTCTTTAATTATTAACATCAGCTGTTTGCGGGAATCAGACTTTAATATTCGAAATTCGTGAAATTATCGCAAAAAACTCGAATTACTCGGGGCGAACATTTCTTGCAAATGTGAAAAATGTGTTTTCATACAGGCCGCATTTTTAACATTAGTAAAATACGTGACATTCGCAAAAGAATGTATGAAATGTGGACAGTAGAATTAGGCTATTGAAAATGTCAAATTCTTTTAAAATGTGAAAAATGTGTTTTCTTGTGCGAAAACGTTCAGGCCACATATTTGACATTCGCGAAAAATGTGACATTTCACAAAAGAATGTAAAAAATGTTGACAGTTAAATTAGGCTAATGAAAATGCGAAATGTGAAAAATGTGGTTTCGAATGGGAAAACATAGACGAAACATATTTCACATTCGCATGTCATTCAAAATGTCAGAAATGTGGACAGTGGAATTAGGCTAATAGACGAGGCGAGTGGAAATTTAAGTAAATTTCAGTGCGTTTTCGAGCGAACAGAGTATGTCGCAGTCGTTGACCGGCGATTGCAATGTTCTTGGTTGTTTTCCAGCGAAAACGGCAAAACATTGTTGGCCCGTTTGCCTGTTGGGCTGTGCAAGCTGCAGCACACAGTGGCAACTGGGAATGGCAACGGCAGCCCGTTGACGTGCGGTGGCCATTATGTAGCTGCTCCTTTGGGAACCCAAAACAGCAACAACAACAACAACAACCATCTCGATGGACGATTGACGATGGTTGCTGCTCAGGTAGATAAATTCGTAATACAACTGCAAGCTGTCTGCAGCAGCTTCAGCTTCAGATTCAGTTGCGGCTGCCTCTGCGGCTGCGGCTGCGGCTCGTAGCTTGTCCATTGTCCGGCGTGGCACGGTCTGAGGTCTGGACATGGCACATGTTGCAGCCAACTTGTTGTTGCTTTTGTTTTGGCTGCTGCTTTGAAGCATTTTGTATTGTTTTGTGTTTGTGCGGCTTATCCAGCGCTTTCAACGCCTCGCGATCAACCCGGCCACACGGTCCAACACAGTTGCCTTTTCGGCCGCATAATTCATGTTTCACGCCCGCCTTTTTTCTTTTTTTTTTGCTTTGTTTCCTTTACTTGCCACAGACAAATTTCAAAATGGCAGCTGCTGCGCAATTATTGGCAAACGTAGTTTTAATCAAAGGGTTCGCTTTTAGCCAAAAAAAAAAATTACAGACTGTATGCAAAAAAAGAAATTGCCAACTGACATCGATAGTTCGTTGGCATTTCAAACAGATTGCCAGTTGGCAAAGTGATAGAACACGAAATTCGAATCAAAGCCCACTCTGTATGTGTGTGTGTGTGTGCTGTGTGTGTGCTGTGCGTGTTGCAGCTTTGATTGTTGCCAGCTGTCGTGTCAACTTCCGCCTTTGGCTTTCAGTATTTGCTCATTACTTCAAGTGTGTATTGTGTGTGTGTATTGTGTGTGTATGAGTGTGTGTGTTGTGTTTGTTGTGTGTGTGTTTTAGCGGACATTTCCGTCCCTGGCATATTTGTGCAGATCTTGAGTTTATTGAAAAATATTAAATAAATAATAAGCAAGTGCAAGTGTTCAAGTTGGGATTGCACCCAACTAGGGAATATCCCTGATACACATCGAATCGGTTGAGAATATCTTATAGGCGAAAACGCCTAGACATGTATGAGCTATGCGACAAGCTACATATATTCATTTAAGCGTTGCACGTTTTTAAAAAATTTAATATGGAGAAACATATCGATACATCGATATTTATCGATTGCATAGGCAGAAGAATCTGAAACCGATAATTATCGATAAGTGTGGCCAAGTGTTAAAAAATCGATATTTATCGATAGCGTTGGAAGAAGGTTCAATAAACCCCATGTGAGCTTGGTTTATAAGGGATCACATACTGAAACCGATAATTATCGATAAGTCTTGCTCTGAACTGAAAGTTTGCAAGACTTTAATTTAGCTTGTGGGTAAATATTATACATGAAATTAGGGAAGGGAAAAAACGTGAATATTTATCGATTGCTTTGGAACAAGTTTAGGCTTGCGAATTGAAATAAACCTTATCTGAGCTTGGTATAACTTAAATTTATGAAAGGTTGAAATCAACTTCAACTATAATGTTTGGTATACAAGTTGTTGTGACTTACTCTTTTTTGTAGTTATATTTATCGATATTTATCGATTATGTGGAGACAAGTGAGATTGTTAGAAATTATAAATAGCTATTATTTTGCCTCTGGGCTCGAATCGCTTCAACAGACGAGTTGGGAAGTACAGTGAAGACTCTTCCCAACGAGAAGTCTCATTTGACGGACGCCAATCTGGTTCATTGTTCTGCAAAGTGAGTTTTCACTGTAATTGGAATGCAATGCTGCCCTTGTTGAACTCTTTTGCGCCCTTTTTTAACCACTTTTAAAAAGGTCTTAAATAATAAAAAGTAAGCAAGAGGAGAAATCGCAGAAAAGCGCGCAACACAGAGCACATTGTCATATTGCACCTGCAACCTGCAACAACAACAACAACAACAACAACAAACAAACAACAACAAGAAGAACCTTATCGGTTCGCACAATTTTATGGCTGTCAAAATAAGTTGGCAGCAGAAACAGGCAGCAGCAGCAGCAAATGGCCAAAAACAGCAGCCGCGAAATTGTCAAAGTCGATTTGAAATCGTTGTTAGATTGGAATTTCGACCCAATTAGGAAATTGTTCGACTGCTGCCGTTTCCCCCTTTCGGCGGAAAAATGCCAAAAAAAAAAAAAAAAACAAAGAGCCGAGGCTATGGTCAAGGATGCGAAGCGCGGCAAAACAATCGAGCGATACATAAAATATATTGTTATGTCTGCGGTGAGAAAACTAATTGACGATGACAGCAGTCGCAGTCGCAGTCGCTGCCGGCGTCGCTGCCGGCATCGCTGTGGCAACAACCAGGCAGGAGTCAATTTTTTTTTTGTTTCTTTGCCTTGGGGCAGCCATCGATTGCACGCTTTTTGCTGCCTGCCGCACGTATCGCAAGTGGCCTTCGTAGTTTTCTATTTGCCACAAGAAAAGCCCCAAATCGTTTAAATTTATTTATACGTTCGGCTGCTGTGGCGATATAAAAGGCGCCGCCAAAATGCAGCAGCAGCAACAGGAGGCAACAACAAGCGGCAACAACTGCAGCAATCATTTTGTGGCAGTTGCATGAAATTATTGATTTGTTATTTGTGGGCTTGTTAAAATGCTTTTGTGTGCCCCAGACTCGAGTTGTTGCTGTTATTGCCGATTGCTTTAACTAATAATTGTTGTATCTTAATTTTGTTTTATTACCAATTGGCCAATTGCCGTGCGGCATCTGTAAAAAATGTTGCAAGTGTCGATGCTTTAACATGCTTGCCACATATTTTTTGACAGTTGCAGCTCTCAATTGCTGCTTGTCGTGTTGGCAACCGAGCTAATTAATTATCTTCTTCTTCTCTTTGCACTTGATTACATATTAATAAGTATTCGTACATATTTAATATTATTTTCATTTTTCTATTCAATATTATTCATATATATTTTGAATTTTATTTATTTTATATTCCTCAATTGCGATTCAAAGAAAAGTTGATATTATAAATCAAATATTTGCCGCCAAATAAAATGCGATAACAACGCACAAGACAACATGTTATCGTTATCGACAGCCATGCTGGCAACGCTTATGCTTACAGAACACAGTGGCGCCCCTAGGTCTCGTTTGCTTAGTGGTAAATCTGTCCCACTACTGGCTGGCATGCATGCCTTTTGGTGCGAAACTTTTCTGAGATGTGGTGAGCATAATTCATGCCTCGTTGGCTATGCCGGCCTTGTAGTGTGAAACTTTGCTGAGATGTGGTGAGCATGTCTTACGTCTCGTTTGCTGTGCCTGGCTTTTGGTGCGAAACTTTGCTGAGATGTAGCTAGCACAGTTCGTTACCCAATAGCTAGGTTTCACACTAAAATTGTTGAATTTCAATTTGAAAATGCGCGCCATTGAAATTTGGTTCAAAATAGTTTTATATGTTCATAGTAATAGAGAGTTTATATATTTTTACAGTAAGTAACGTCTTTATTTAATTGCATTTGTTCTGCTGTTTTGTCATTTTATAAAATTATATTATAAATACATAAGAACTACAGCATGTCATACAAAAAAAAAAATCAATCAAAACCGGGAACTGTTCATCAATTTGTATTCGATTTAGTTAGAATGTTTAAACTACAGTTTTTGTTCTCTTTTATGTTTTGCATATAGGACTAAATTGTATGCTTATTCATTGGGCCATTAAATATTCGTTATTATTGCTGAAATATTCATTTGTTCTTGTTGTTGTTCTTGTTATCTTGTTTGATTTTTGAAACGACAGTTTGTGAACTTATAAACTAGAGACAAATACAAAGGTTATCACTTGAGTATGTCTAACAAGCTACTCGGTTTCTTAATGTTTCTTCCACTACATTCTATACGCTTTCTATATATATGTATATATGTAAATGTGTGAGTGTATATAGGTATGCTACGCTTTCTTTTTTATTATGGTCTATAACTAGAGTCGGTTGAGTAAATTCAACGATTTGGCAAACAGTTTTCAACTGCCTGAACATATATAGACGCCGCCATATAGTCAGCAGTTCAAGCTGGCAGAGGGGGGGGGATGCTTTGCCTAGAAACTTGAAAACTTAGCACATGTTTTTTTTTCTGTTTAGTTAGTAGCTGAATACCCCTACTAAATATTCGATATACGTGAAAACTACAAACTAATGTTTAAAACTATAAGTTTGCTAAGCCACAAATAACTTTCAACATAATCGTAAACTTACATTTAATTCTATATAATATATATGTATATTTAATGTATTTTAGTTTAGTATCAAAAATGCATGGCACCCATGGGGAACAGAGTTCGTTGAGCAAATGTTCAGAGTTCTAAAAAGACTCGAACACAACACACTACACATATATTATATATAATATATATATATATATATATATATATATATATCTTTAGCTTAGACTACGTAACTAGTACAGACTATGTGACTATGTCTATGCCTTATGCCTTATGCCTAGACTTTGATTACATTTTTAGCATGTTTCATATTTTTCGATTCGTTTCGTTTCGCTTCGTTTCCCATTTCGTTCGCACTCTCTTTTTTTTTTTTAAACATTTTTCAAATAAAAGGCAACTCATGAACATGTTTTGTTTAGTTGTTGTTTTCAACAGCTTTCCCCCCCGACCTAAATCCACAGCGGCCCAATGGTGTCCACTATGATGTCCAGCACATCCTGGCGTCCCATCTCCTTGAGCGTCAGCAGCAGCGACATTATGCTGTTCGCATGCGAAATGCAACTGGAACTGTTACCGTTAGAAATGCCGCCGCCGCCGCCAATTGCGCCCTCTCCTGCGCTGCCGCCCCCACTGTTGGCGCGACACTCCCACAGATTGAGTATCTGTTCGGTGGGCGAGGGTTTGGTGGCAAAGTATGCAATATACCGATCCGTGCTCAACTTCTTGGCCAGCAGCCGCCAGTCGCGCTCGTCCGCACGCGGCGGATCCAAGGCGGCGCATATCAAGCGCTTCGTGGCATGTGGCAGCTGGACAAAGTCCAGGACACAGCTCTCGTTCACATAGTTGCCCTGGCGATCTATCGAGATGGTCGTGTTCGTTGTCGAGGCCAGCTCCTCGGCCGAACCCAGGCCCAGGCCCTGTCCCTGGCCGGGCATGCTGAACGTATAAAAGTCGAACTGCTCACCCTGGCCAAAGTCGACGCACAGCGTCTGCTGCTCCTGGCGCCGCACACTGAACTCGCAGTGCAATATGGAATTGTTGCTCAATATATGCTGGTAGGGTATGGCATGTTCGTAGGGCGCATCTGCCGCATCGCCAGCTCCCAAGTCGGCATCTCGGCAGCGCACGCGTATATTCAGATTGAGGCTGTTCAGCACGAAGCCAAAGACCTGACTCTCGCCCAGATAGCTGCCGCCTAACTTGCACTCGACATTGGCGCATATGTCCCGGCTGTTGGGAAAATCCTTGACCACATAGATGCGCAGGCTGCAGTTGGCGCTGCTGCTGGGCGGCGTGTGCTGGCTAAAGGCGAGCAGCTTCATCTTGATCGCCGGCTGTTGAATGCGCGGCTCGGCCACGACGGCAAAGTGGCCCAGCTGCTCGGTCATAATGTACACGGCCGTCGGCTCCAGCTGCACAAACATTGGCGTATTTATCGTCTCCTCGCCCACGGATACCGCTCGCCGCCAGCCGACATTCAGATCGTCCTGCTCGCTGTCCGCATGGTAGATGTGCACATGCCATTGCTCCGGCGCCAGCAGGCAATGCGGTATCCGGAGTATCACGGGCTTGATGAAGCCATAGTTTCGGGGCGCACAATGCACCACGCTGCTGCACAGTATGGAGCTGTCCGTGGCGCAGGCAATTCGACTGCACTCGTCGCTCAGCAGCATCAGGGAGACGTGCTTCTTCAGATGCTTGCCAATGGCCAGCTCCGGCACAAAGAGCAACAGCTCGCCGCCATACAGACGCAGCTGGCCGCCGTTGCTGCCCAGCAGCTCGTAGCTGCTGCTCTTCGAGGCGTTCAGTATGGAGAGCTTGGCGTTCATGTCGAACGTGGAATTGGCTACGGAAAAGGGAGAGAGTTTTGAGCGAGAGCTGACATTAGGCTAGGCCTGAGGGTTACTTACAGGTGTCCGCTGTGGAGGAGTCGCCCGTTTCGGATAGATAATCCGCGCTCAGGTCATCTATAGGATTCGTGTAGCTGAAGGAGAGAGAAAGGGCAGAGCGAAGAGTTAGTTGAAGGATCCTTGTAAATGTAGAGAGAGCTGATGGAAGTTGTCCAAGGGCTTTGGATCATCTATTCGATTTATGTGCTCAGTATCAAAAGATCTTTAATATTTAGGGTCTATACCAAGACCAAGCGCTCTGGATTCGATTTATGTGCTCAGTATCAAAGGATCTTTAATATTTAGGGTCTATTCCCAAAGTTTCACTTAAGTGACAAGACGTAATTTGAACAAACAAAATTCGTTGATATACTTTTGCTTTCCATCTTTTGCAAATTTGACCAAAGATTTGTTCATCTTCTCCGAAGCCTCTTTGCATACTTAAAGGCACATAAATGTATCCAGCTGTGCATGGCAGCTATTGAATGCAATCCAAGCCCTAGCAATGGTAATCCGCTTTGTGGGATTAAAGTACAAGTTTTGCAACTTACTTGGCCGCCAGGTTGGGCACATCGTAGTGATGTTCCGTGACGCCGCCGCAGCCGACGCCCAGGCCGACGATGTGCTCGCCGGGCAAATAACGATGTCCGGGATTGACATAATCGTATCCCAAATTGGCTGCCTCGATGTGCATGCGCATCTCCTTCTTATCGACAACGCCGGGCATATAATCCGCGTCCATAACTGCAACAAAAACAAAAAAAAAAAAACAAAACGAGGCGAGGGCAACAGGAAACGTGTCAGCACAGATTCAATTGCCGCAGCAGCAAAATGCGAAATCGACTCACCTGAGCGGGCCATGTTGTAGTGCGGATTGTGGCGAATGCCGCGGCGGGCGCAGCAGATGAGCGCGGTGCCGAAGGCAAAGCAAACGGCTGTGATGAAGGCCAGACCCAAGTACAGTGTCCAATCGAAGTCTGTAAGGAGAGAGAAGGCAGAGAAGTTGGGCGGATTGTATAAAACTGCTGATTTTTGGTTTTTAATATGTGTCTTGGCGTGAAAAGCCCCACCCCAAATCCAAATCCAGATTTCGCCTGCATCTGCCAATCTCAATCTTTGTCTTTTGTATTAAAAAGAATGCTCGCCTCCCCACTCCCACCACAAACACACATACGCAAAAGTTGAGTCAACCAAAAACAGAAACCAAACGCGGTCGCATCCAAAAAATGTTGCCATCAATCCAAAGCAGCCATGCGTAGCCGTATATGCCGCTCGGTCGGTCGGTCGGACGGTCGGTCCCTCGGTCGCCCCCTCGGTCGACCGCTCGCTCACTCGGTCTGTCGGTCTGTCTGTCTGTCTGTCGCTCGGTTATTCCTTCTCTCTGTTATGGCCTGTATATGTCTGTATTTAATGTTTTATGTTTGTATGCTCAGACCCCCTTGGTCCATGGAAGCCACAGTTGCTCAATTTCCCCCCCAACAATCCGGCGTCTATTTCGCATTATTGTGCGCTACCCCCTGCTGCCGCCACCCGCACCCGCACCCGCAACGTCACCCATTCCCTTGCCCCAAGCGCCATTGTTGCTCGGCTTGTTTCCGTTGCTGTGATTGTTGTCGTCATTGTTGGTGGCGCTGGCGGTGACTGGTTGGCGCTGTGCCGGGCGCAAAGGAATCGCTGCAGCGCAAGGAATTACTCCACTGTATATGTATATATATTATGATTATTACACACCCACACACACACACACACACACTCAGAACGCATTATACAATGTATGAAATGAGCAATTATATTCGCTGTAAATCAGCGACAGAGCCGCTTGCAGCATCGGAAGCATCCTTCGCTTTGAATGGATCTATCTCCCCCCACTCGAACCAAACTTTAGACTTTTTCTTGCGCTTTCACTTTTCCATTCGTTTTTTTCTGCATTTTGCATGCTGATTTTTTGTAGACTCCTGCCTGGGACATCAAAAGCGTATTTGTCATGCTAAGAGATTAGAGAGGGTATAGTACTTGCCCATCCTACCCCCCGGATTGCCAGTTGCCACAATGGCCACATAATAAAGCCTCAGGACTTTGGCTACAACTGTTGCAGCAGCCCCAGGGATATTAGCCCGGGGTCCAACTGGCGCTCTGAGCCACAGCAAATGTAATAAAATGGAAAATAAGCTAAAGGCTCAAGTCAAAACCAACAAAGTGTCACTCTTCATTCGCAGAAACTTTTCAACAGCAATCAAATAACATGCAGAAAAAACGAGCAGAAATTGTCTAGTCGAAGTTGTTCGACTAGGAGAATATCCTGTATCCCCAAATCCATTCTTAAAAAACTTCCATGCTGAGAGCTTAAAGATGGAAATGTGTTCGAAGTCCGCAGACCTCCCATGTTTGAACAGAAGGCGATGCTTTCATTTGCCCAAGTGTCCATTAAGCCCTTGTTTGTTCACATTCGATGAGCACAGGGTATTAACGAAAAGAAACCCGTAAATGTACCAAAAATGATGTGTTGAATGGTTGCGGAACTTGCCTCTGCTGATCCTTTCAATTACACACTGTGACAGTCGCATAATTGATCCCAATGGACCCTGGCTAACCCCCCCAAAACGAACTATATTTGAGTTGGGTTCAATCGCACATCGCACACGCACTTCTCGCCGCCCTGATTGTAAATCGTAGACCAAACAGCAGCAACAATGACATGTCGAAAGCTTCAAAGTGGTTGGGTATATTGGTTTGGGGATAAGCAGTTTGGCCAGTTGAATGATACTCTGTGCTATCGTCGTCTTTGTCGCTTTGCCTAATTATCTGGCAAAGCGCATAAACATGGGGCGCAGATTCTTAGCTCAGGCGCCCAACGTGGGGTAGCTGCAAATTGGACTGCGATTGATTTGCGACCCTTTTTGGAAAATACTCAACGCAGTGGGGATTGAGTGGCCTTTCTAGTGGCTGGGTGGTTGATTTATTTTACCATTTTTATATTATAGCGGCTGTGGTTGGGGGCGGACATGCACAAACAAAATGCACTTGGTTAATTTCCCATTGTGACAATCAGCGTTGAGTGCTCGGCTTTTGTGTGGTGGCCCGTTCGGGCTATGCTTCTCGTTCCTGGCTGTTGTGTCTGTTGTGCCCACTGTGATTGTTATTGTTGTCTAACTGTCTACTTTGTTGCCGACTGACTGGCAGACCGACCGACCGACCGACCAACTGGCTGTCTGTTGTTGTCATAAACACACTTACCATCCTTGCCAATCTGGCATTGCTCTCCACGGCATTCGGCCGTTTGTATGTCTTTTCCGGCGCACAATGATTTGCCATATCCTGAGCCATCAGCGTCGCCGTCGCCATCGCTGCTTGAGCTGAGTGCTGCGGCGCCCACTCCGCCAGTCAGCAGCAGCAGCTCGCCAGCCTCATCTGCCACATCGGCGGCAACTGTGGCGTGCGTCACACATTTTCTGCGACGCACTTGTATGCATTCCGCGGAGCAGACGCTCCACTCGCTCCACGACGACCACCGAGCAACTAAAAGGAAAAGAGAAAGAGAGAGAGGGAGAGGGAGAGCTGTTTAGAAATCAAAAGTCATATTAACATGATTTAGCACACATTCCCGACAGCGTCAGGCCCCGCAGTCATTTATCAAAAGGCGCCCAACGTGGGAAACTTCAGGATATGCTGCGCTGTGAGTGAGCCTCGCATTACATTTTATGGCATTGCTTTAACTAATAGATGCGTCGCAATTATGGCACCTTTTACCAACTAAATGCAGCGCCCCAGAATTTATGGCACCCATCCAACCCTGGGGAGCTCTTCAGACCAAAAAATGTTCCCAGCATATTTAAGAGCAGCAGCAAACCTCCCTCTTCCAATGTCTCGAGTAAAAGTGATTGTCATTTTAATGCTTTTCTATTTTCGCATTTTGCTTCGTTTATTTCAATTTTTTCTTTGTTTGTCGTGGGGGACCGCCGCCAAGTCCGAAAACTAAACAAAAAGCGCAAAATGTGCATGTTGTGGGTCTTGGCTGTTCGCCTGGCCTGGCTAGATGTATGCCTATGTCAAACTCATATATATATCGGCATTTGCCACTTCCTGTGCCCAAAAACCACCCCCGTCGAAAGGCGAACTGGCAAGTTGTCCTCCTTCCCATCAGCATTTAAATTATGTGTGTGTGTGTGAGTGTGAGTGACATGCCCCACTCCAGCTAACGCATCCTGCTGCTCTCCCCTGCTGCTCTCCCCTGCTGCTCTATCCTGCTGCTTGCTTCAAGGGTCGTCGCCAGACTGTTGCATGAATCAGACAGCGAAAATCGTGGTAAGTGATTTTTAAGTTGCCGTCAACAATGACGTCACTTTTGGCCTAGAGATGGGGGAGACACCCAATAGACAACCCGAACTAAGTCAGTTAGTCCGGCAACAGCTACAGCTTCACAGCTTTGCGATTGAATGAATGAGGCTGAGTGTTTTGAATGAATCGCTGCACGGTTCGTTGGAGCTGGATACGGCGTATCCGGGCCGGGTTATGGATGCTGCCTTTGGCACAGTTTAACACAATTGTCTATTGAATTGTAAAGCGTAACCGCCCGAACGCTCGAGCTCCCAAAAAAAAAAAAAAATAGAAAACTGCAACCCTCTAGACCAATTCCAATTAACAATTTTGAGCTCGGCTCGTTAAGCATTCAACTTTAACACAATGTCATATTGAACTCTAGACCCCCCCCCCCCTCCCCCCACCCCCCTTTTTAAAACCCAGCTCCAATGGGCAGCCCTTTTCTGTTGTTGTTGTTGTTGTTGAGATGCACATTGTCAGGCTTTCGTTTGGAACTTACTGCGCTTACTCGACGAAATGTCAAATCCATCAGCGCTCACAATTTGAGTGTCCTCTGTTGTTGTTGTTGTTGTCGTTGTCAGCATCAGCGTAATCACGGGCGTTGGCAGGCGGCATGGGCGTGGCAACGGTAAGCAGCATCAGCAGCAGATGAAGCGCCATAAGGTTGACACGATTCCATGGGGATGAAAAAGTCATAAGTTGACGATGAAACGAAAAAGGAAAAAAAAAGCGAAACCGAAGCGAAATTTAAAATTAATTTTATGACACACTTTTCATAGAAAAAGCGGCCCAACCACCCTACCAGCCCCCCACCCCCCTCCGAGCCGACCACTTGAAAGTGTATTGCTATTGCTGCTTCAGCAGCTCCTCCACCCCTCCCCCCCTCCTGCTCCGGCTCCATTTGCCCCGCTTGTCTGTCAACAATTGCTCATTGCTGTGCCCGCTGTGCGCCTGCCAGAGTTTCATTCTTTGTGTGTGTGCGTGTGTGTGTGTGTGTGTGTGCACTACAATACAATGTGCAATACAATAAATTTACATGAATAAAAGTGAAGAGTCTCAAACACATGCCGCCCGTGCGTCTGTCACAAAAAGAGCGCGCCCCCAGCTCGGCCGGGTCCTGCAGTCCAATGCCAAAACCGAAATCACATTGTGCAACAATCCCCTGCTCCACCCAACCCCCCTTCTTCGCACTGCCAGCCTGCCTCCACTCTCCCCATCAATGCCTTTGTCACCATTTAGTCAGCGACTGATGACTGGTATGCCGCCAGCAGACGCCCCCGGGTCCAACGGTGCCAACGGTTCCAACGGCGGGGTCGCCCCCTCCTGTGCACGTCCAATCTATCCCATCTATATGTGCGTATATATACAGATATATATCTGGCCGTGCTTGTGAAGATATCTGTCGTCGTTTCAAAAGGCAGCTACTCCACAATAGCAGACGCAGCCGAATGCGTGTTTAAAATGAAATACTCGGCGCTCACTCAAAAATTTATTGGACTCGGCTCCAGAAATGGGTAGCACGAATATCTCGTACGGTTTGTCAACAAATTAACGACGGGTTTTCGACATAATTATATTATTCTCGAAAATCCCTACATTAGATTGCAAGAGATTTGTCTTTGGTAGAATGAACGAAGGGTTGTACTTTGATACTTTCCCATATATGGAATATCTCGCACGGGCATGAATTCAATAAAGAATTATTCATTTATCCTTCTCAGAAATAATATCAAAGTATATAAAACTTGTTCTTGAATCATTTACGCTTTGAGCTTGGCTTAAAAGTGGCAGAAACTTATGTTTTCCCATGATTCACGCTTTGGCAAGGCAATGATATAATTTAAAATTAATTGAGCAAAAGAAGAACTCCTATCCGAAATTCCTTTAACTGTTGTAGAAATTAATCTGGCTTATAATATAAAAGTCCCTTTATATAATTTGATATCTATTTAATGAAAGCAAGAAATCAAACTAATCTCAAATATTTACTTCTTTTACAGGTCAACCTTGAATTAGGTAAGTGTATAACTAACTTCGGTTTTGGCAATTTCTTCGCATTTTCCTGCATTTTGTTGTTTCTTTTTTTGGAACGCCCTCTTGAACTTTTGCGGCGCAGTGCTTTGTGCTTGACTCCCTGCTAGCTCGTTGCCTGGGTGTGAAAAATGTGCGTCGTACGTCGACGGCCTTTATTTGTGTGCTGCCGGAGAGATGGGAGGGGGGCTGGGCTCACAGGGACGCAGGTGGCTGCCAACGCCCACAGGCTGGGCTGAGCTGCCATTTAAATTGACAATTTTCGTTGTTGGCCCTTCAATTACGGTTACACTTTAAAAGTTACCCGGCCCAAAAACGGGCAACGCCCACAAATTTGTGGGTAACCAGAGGAAACGCTTTTGGCATACCTGGACATGCGGCACAGTCCGCCGACTTTTGTACCTGGGGGCCGGCGCATTGGGCGCCCCCATTCAAGGGCATCGGGTTGGTGCAGGTGCGCGTTCGCTTGCGGCCCTGACTCGGTTTACCGCTGCATTTGCACTCGCGCCATGGGCTCCAGGCGCTCCAGCCGCCGTTAACTGTGGTCAGAGAGAGAAGGGGTGGAGAGAGGGGGATTTTGAGTTTAGTAAATATGTCGTAAAAGCCGCAAATATGTGTGTGTGTGTGTGTGTGTGTGTGTGTGCGTGTGTGTACTGACCATAGACAATGAGCACAGCCGAATCGGAGACACGTTTGCCGGCCAAATTCTCGGCGCTGCAGCTGTAGTTGGCCATATGCTGCAGCGCCACCTGGCGAAAGGTGAGCGTACTGCCGCTAACAGTGATACCCGTGTCGCTGTCGCCAGTTATAAGCGCATTGTTCTTGTGCCAGCTGAGCTTCGGCTCCGGAAAGCCGCCGGGCGGCTCGCAATGCAGTTCCGCACGGCTGCCCAGCTCCAGGCGCAACGAGGTGGGCGACTGGCCAAAGGACTTGCGAATGTCTGCAATGGGGTGAAATGCGGTTAAAGTAGGGTATACACAAGTAGGTTGTAGGGTGACGCAGCTGCTGTTGGCGCGCATTTTTATACCCTTGCAGAGGGTATTATATAATTTGGTCTCGCCATGTTTAACGCACAGAAGCAGACATCCCCGACCCCATAAAGTATATATATTCCTGATCAGTGTCTCACTTCTAAATGAAACTTTGCAGATCGGTTGAAAAGTAGGTTCTTGTATGAACAACTTTTTTGTTTATTAAGTTATCTTGACCAAACTCGGAATTTATTAGTTGTACTATGCTCCCTATATATATGCAAAATCCTATCAACATCGGACTACAATATCATATAGCTGCCATAGGAACGATCGGTCGAAAATGAAGTTGTTCTATGGAAAACTTTTTGGTTTTTCAAAATTTCTTAACCAAACTCGGTATTTATAAGTTTCACCATGCTCTCTACATTTATGCAAAGTCCTATCCAGATCGGACTACTATATCATATAGCTGCCATAGGAACGATCGGTCGAAAATGAGGTTGTTGTATGAAAAACTTCTTTGTTTACAAGGTTAACAAGATATCTTAGCTTAACTCTGCATTAAATATTTTCCCTGAGCTTCTTAGATACGAGCAAGGCATTATGAAAAAGGTTCGGTCTGCAAGGGTATTAAATCTTCGGCGTGCCGAAAAGCGCCCTTTTTTATCGTTAAAACTAGGGAAGGACGCGTGCCATTTTTCAACCAAGTTAATTCTTTAAGCACGACAAACGCTCAGCTCTGAGAGCCACCCTCTGAATACTCACATGCAATATGGACCGTGGCCGCTTGACTCTTGACCACGCCGCGCGACGACCACGCCTGGCACTCGCACTTGAAGGGGCCCTTGCCAAAATATTCATCGACAAGATCGCGATGTATGGTGGCTGTGACCTCCTCCATGTGGACGCCCGTGTGCGGATCCACGTGCTTGTCGTGCGTCGAAGGCGGCGGCTGGGAACTGCCGCTGCATTTGAAGTGCAGCTGCAGGGCATGAGATGCCTTGCACTTGAGCACTGCCGGCCGATTCTTGACCACAAAAACGCTCTCCGGCTCGCTGAGGAATATGGGCAGCGTGTTGCTGGCCTCCGCCGGGCTCAGTTTGCCGCCGTTAAACTCCTCCAGCAAAGTGCCGGCGCCCATAACGGAAGCTGTGCCGCCGCCGGCCGCAGCAGCCGGCGCTCGGCCATCCTCGCTGCTGTTGAGTCCAGACTCCAGGTTGAGGCGTTGATGCGGCGCTGTCTGTTCGGTGACCAGCGGCTCGACAAGGTCCACATCCTCCACGGAGGCGGACATGCTGCCGTAATCGCTGCCCAAAGGCAAATCCCGACAGCCGGCCAATTTTAGCCACATTAGCTGCAGGCTGACTAAAACTATAATCACATTTCCGGCTTTGTGCAACGACGACGACGACGACGTCATGCTTCTATCTGTCTTGCGCTTGTCTCGGCTTCTCGTTAATAATTCGTTGTCAGTTTTTATCACTGTTGTCGTTGTTGTTGTCGTTGTTGTCGTTGTTGTCTTGTCCTGCGTTTCCTGTACAGCAACAACTGCACCTGCTGCTGCTGTCGCTTCTTCTCCTGCTGCTGCTGCTGCTGCTGCTGCTGAGGTATGCTGGCATTAGCTGCTTTCGGTTTGGGTTTGGGTTTGGGTTGATGTCGCCACGGCCCGATCTGTAATGTCAGATAAGAAATACATTTAAATGGCTTTTGCTTCACGTACTTCAGTTGCATTCCATCCTCATATGTCAGACCCGAACGACTCCTAAACCACAACAATTTGCCCACTTGGCAAGCAGCGAATGCCGCAGCAGTTTGTCAGAGCCACTGAAAAGTGTCCATGAATGAACTAAAGTGTTCATATCTTAAGCGAAACACACACACACACACACACACACACACACACAAGCACACGCATTAATAATCATTATGCCCAACGTTGAATTTGGTTACAGTCAATGCGACTGGCTAATCACCTACAGGAAATTGTTGCAACAGGAAATTGTGTTTAAAAGAAACCACATTTGAATTAGGATACATATGGCATTGATATCTGTAATGCATAAAAACGTGTATATCCACGTGGAAATAGATTTGGGAAATTTCGAGATACATTGACCCAAACATAGACAAAAATAAAAACAGAACAAGCTGAAACAAAGCGTGTCAACTGTAGAACAATTTCCGGTTTCGAAACTCAGGAATATTATGAATGAATTAAGTTAAGCGAAATCTTTAGGTAAAATACCAGAAAGATTGCATTTATTATATATTATTATATACATATATTATTATATAAACTGAGAAGCAAACGTTTTGAATGGATTTATTCAACTATGCCCTTCGTTTAAGGCAATACTCCGACGTAATCCGGCTCATCATCTACATGTTAAGCATATTTCGCTGTAATACTTCTCAAACTTCCTCTTTCATTAGGTAACAACCTGTTCGCAATACTCAGAACTCAGGCAAGTAATCATAAAAGAAAAGTCGTATGCACTTCAATTAAACTTAAAATAATATTAAACGACATAAATGTGAATATCATGCAACATGATAATAAATATTAATATCATGTTACATAAGTGAGCTACCCCCCACTCCCCACTCCCCTCGTCTCACTCCAATCAAGCTCTGCCTCTGCTTTGTGTACATCCTGCAACAATCACATTTCCGATTACCCATTGATGAAGTCAAGTTTCGTCATCATCAATCAGCCGTTGGGCTATGCCAAGCGTTTGAGGTGTAGGGTATAACTATTGTCTGATTAGTTATGCAAGTCATGTGTCAAGTTCTACGAATCGCTAGTACCAAATCGAAATATTAATAACAGCTATGTATACATATACTTATGGCCAAGACCACGATAGATAGCCAGGCCGAGGCGGAGGCCGACACGGAGGCAGAGACAGAGGCAGGCACTCGGTAGTCATTCAGGACGTGCTGTGTGGGAACCCACAGGCTTTTGTCTTTTGTGTGTGTGTGTGTCTTTTGTCGTCTTTTAAATGTTATTAGTTGTGTGTTGAGTCCGTTGGCTCAGGCATTAAAATGCGGTCCTCAGCCCCAGACCCCCGCCCCCTACACGCTCAGACCTCTTTGAGTAGGAGTTTATGTGTTTGCCTTTGTAATTATGTATTAATCATGCATAAGTTTAAACTGCAGCCTACTGCACGCTCTTAACTACTGTTGGCTGCCCCCCCCCCCATTCCCCTCCCCGCTCTACCCACTTTAATGTCGACAAAGGCAGGCGACATACAGAAAAGTCGATATGTAAATTGTTGCGGAAACGCCGCTTGATGTAAAATTGTGATTATGATTGGGCCAAAAGGCAATCGTGGGCCACGCGTAGCTATAAAATGTCGGATAATAAGGGAATTAAATGGAGAAATAATACATATTGGATAGGCGTCTTTTACCGCTTCCTCTCCCACTTTATCTGCCTCTTTCTCGCCTGGTCATCATCTTCATCGTCACGAGCGTCATTTCTTTTGGTTTAAGCGCCTTTTATGCGTAATTCAATTGGATTTACAGGGTGCTTGTGGACACTTGAGTGTCTGTCAATATATGCGCCTGTACATGTGTGTGTGTGTGTGTGTGCGTGTGTGAGCTGACCAGATTATAATAATAGTATTCCCTCTGGCATAACACACACACACACACACATACACAGACACATTTGTGTTGTTTGTGTGCATTCAATTATAGCCGAATATTGAAGTTGGTTTTGTTTTCGATTTGTCTAGACTCTTGTTTGACGAGGCCTTCAAGCCAGGCCATGTAATGTAATATATATTATATATGTATATATCTGATATTTGCTGGACTGCTTAAATAAATTCGATTTATGCCAGCTCGTTTAAGCGTTATGTAAACAAATCCCTCTCGCATATTAACACTTATCTCATATGATTGATTAAAATTTGTGCAAATTTGGCATGGCAAAAAATGATTATTGTTGCAAATTTTATGAGCATCGATAATTATCGAGGCATCGCTGGCCATTAAAATTGTCGGCAGACTGTAAAGATTAATCAAAGTGTGCCACATGAAATCGTTAAATGCCAGATTCACAATTTGCCCCGCCCTCGAATTGCCGCCTTATCGGGCAGACTTTGGCGCCTTGCTGCAGGCTTGCACATTTTGATACCCTGTAATTGAATGGCAACACTTGAGAAATGGCTGAGCAGTTGCAAGAGCAGGTTTGAACATATATATATATATATTATATATGTATGTATATCTGATGCTACGCGAGTATAAATACATATTCCATCATTGACAGCAGTAAGAAAGTTCAAAAGAGTCCAATTCCTAGGGTAACTGCCAGTCGAGCGCAATGCACATTCACATTCCTCATTGTTTAAATAGATTTTTAATGAACTAAAGTAGGCCAAATGGATTGTGTAAAGCGCTTATCAGCCGCATTTCATTCTCTCTGTGTGCACTTTATAATCGAATGGATTTTATTTATTGGAACCGCAAAAGACATAAAAAAGCGATGAAGTTTGCATTGATTTCGGCAAAGCGGAGCAGGCAGTCGCAGAGACGAAACTGACAGACAGGCTCTGACAGACAGGGTCTTCAGATTTATGGCCAGATTGGAAAGATTCTGCGTGTGCATATAATCAACTTATATTGTGTGTGTGTGTGTGTGTGTGTGTGTGTGTGTGTTGAGCAAGGGATGCTCGCATAGAAGAAGCAGCAGCAGCAGCTTCTTCCGCCTGAACTTTTCATGATTACACTCAACTTTTTTTTTTGGCGGAGGAGTAAGTCGCACAAGAGGCACTTGCTTCCTAGCCCAGGAGGCAGCCGTCATGCATGAATGAATGAATGACTGAATGAATGAATGAATGAAAGATTGCGTGGGATAATCGGCGTCGCATTCAATTTAATTTCACAACTATTGCGGGCTGCCGTCGAAGCCCTTCCTGCGAAATGAAAAGAAAAGAACTTTCAAAAGTTGTGCGTCCCCGCTCCCGCCCTTCAAGACAAAGGGGGCGTGTTGAGTGAGGGAAGGGGGTGGGGGGGGGGGGGGGGGGGCACGCAGACAATGCGCGTAGTACAAGGCAGAAAACAAGTGAGCATTCTATAAAATAATTGATGACTGACTGACTCAGTCGTTGGCAGCAATAATTTTTATGCCTCTGCAGTACTCCAGATACACACAAGAGCACACACACACGCACACACACACGCACACACGCACGCACACACACTCGGGCGCACTAAAATCAAATGCCACTCGAAATTCAGCGGCAGTTGCTGTGCGACGCGCCTGAAGATGAAGCTAAAAGCTGAAGTGTATCTGGCAGATGCCGCTGCTTCAATTGCGTGTGACTTTTGCTGAGTGTGTGTGTGAGTGTATCGCTGTGTGTGTGTGTGTGCTGGAGTGTGTGTAGTTATGTTGTACAATCAGTGAACATCTGTAGCACAAATGAAATCTTCAGAACTCAAGGGACCGTGCTGCTGCTGCTGTGGCAATCGTTGCCGCATGTGGATTTCACATGTTGCGCATTTTGCCCACACACAACACACACAACACACAACACACACGCACAACACTCCGCTGAGCCTGTTCTCTAGATAAAGCGCAGCTATTGTGAGCTCGTTCTGCGCTTGCCTTTTAATTTCCTTTTGCTTTTTCGGGCCAGTCTTGTAATCAAACAATTAAAGATGATTTTAATTAATCTATTTATAAGCGGCACAACTCAGCCCCCTCTTTCCCCGCTCTCCCTCTCTGTTGTCGCAACGCCTTCATAACTGCTCAAAAATTTATGCGACTTGACAGCGAGGGGGGGGGGGGGGGGGGCGAGGGTAGGCGAGAGGGTGGGTTTTGTCAGAGACATGACGACAACAACAAACGGCAGAAAACATCTTTAAATTAATTAAGCGTAATTGTTGTTGAATTTGAAACAAAAGTTTCGCAGCCCGCGTATCTGCTGCTGGCGCATAGATACATATGTATCTACAAGATACAATACAATAGATTAGATGTAGGCCCACGCTCGGACCATATGCATGCAATAAGCAAATTATTTATTATTATGCCGCATCAGTTAAATAAGTGGCACAAACCGAGCAGCTGAGCAACTGATGACTCTTATCATTTGTATCTCATTAGAAAAGTTTCAATCTAGCTCAAAGTTTCCGCTGATGCTGACCAGCAGCCTTTAATTCGAGGGGCGGGAGGGCAGTGCTTGCTGGAGATGTTGAGTAGGGGGGGGGGGGGGGGGTATATAGTGTAAGGGAGAAACTTATTTGGCACACACTTGGACCCGAAGCTAATTTATGATGCCCAACGCCAAACAAATCGATTGGCAAACCAGCTGATGTTGCCTACACTCAATGCCAAGACCTTAACTGTGCCTTACACTAGCCTACAAATGAAATAAACAAAAGCCAAAGGAAAGCCAAACTCGAGTT